CCTCTGATCATCCGTGTGGCGCTTCTTTGTACCCGTTCCAGTTTGTATTCATCCTTTTTAAACATGGGAGACCAGAACTGCACACAGTACTCCAAATGATGTCTCACCAGTGCCTTGTATAACGGAACCAGCACCTCCTTATCCCTACTAGAAATACCTCATCTAATGCATCCCAGGACCGCATTCGCTTTTTTCACGGCCACGTCACATTGCCGACTCATAGTCATCCTGCAATCAACCAGGACTTGGAGGTCCTTCTCCTCTTCCGTTACTTCCAACCGATGCGTCCCCAGCTTATAACTAAAATTCTTGTTAGTCATCCCTAAATGCATAACCTTACATTTCTCACTATTAAATTTCATCCTATTACTATTACTCCAGTTTACAAGGTCATCCAAATCTCCCTGCAGGATATCCCGATCCTTCTCCGAATTGGCAATACCTCCCAACTTTGTATCATCCGCAAACTTTATCAGCCCCCTCCTACATTCGGTTCCAAGGTCAGTAATAAATAGATTAAATAAAATCGGACCCAAAACCGAGCCTTGAGGAACTCCACTGGTAACCTCCCTCCAACCTGACAGTTTACCTTTCAGTACGACCCGCTGCAGTCTCCCCTTTAACCAGTTCTTTATCCACCGCTGGATTTTCATATCGATCCCTGTCTTTTCCAATTTAACCATTAATTCTTCATGCGGTACCGTATCAAACGCTTTACTGAAATCGAGGTATATTCGATCCACCGCATTTCCTTTATCTAAAAAATCTGTTACTTTCTCAAAGAAGGAGATCAGGTTGGTTTGGCATGATCTACCTTTTGTAAAACCGTGTTGTAATTTGTCCCAATTGCCATTGACCTCAAGGTCCTTAACTACTTTCTCCTTCAAAATTTTTTCCAAGACCTTGCATATTACAGATGTTAAACTAACAGGCCTGTAGTTACCCGGGTCACTTTTTTTCCCCTTCTTGAAAATAGGAACCACATTAGCTATTCTCCAGTCTAACGGTACCACCCCCGAGTTTACAGATTCATTAAAAATTATCGCTAACGGGCTTGCAATTTCTTGCGCCAGTTCCTTTAATATTCTCGGATGAAGATCATCCGGTCCGCCCGATTTAGTCCCGTTAAGCTGTTTGAGTTTGGCTTCTACCTTGGATACGGTAATGTCAACCCCCCCTCCTTTATTCCCCTCTGTCACGCTACCTCTATTCCTAAACCCTTCATTAGCCTCATTAAAGACCGATGCAAAATATTTGTTTAGATATTGTGCCATGCCTAGATTATCCTTAATCTCCACTCCATCTACAGTCTTAAGCGGTCCCACTTCTTCTTTCTTTGTTTTCTTCTTATTTATATGGCTATAAAACCTCTTACTATTGGTTTTAATTCCCCTCGCAAGGTCCAACTCTACACGGCTTTTGGCCTTTCTCACTCCATCTCTACATGCTCTGACCTCAATAAGGTAGGTTTCTTTGCTGATCCCTCCCATCTTCCACTCCTTGTACGCTTTCTGTTTTTTCTTAATCACCCGTCTGAGACGCTCGCTCATCCAGCTCGGTCTAAATCTTCTGCCTACGAACCGTTTTCCCTTTCTCGGGATACAGGCCTCCGACAGCTCCTGCAACTTCAACTTGAAATAATCCCAGGCGCCTTCCGCCCTTAGATCCATAAATATGTTAGTCCAATCTACTTCCCTAACTAGTCGCCTTAATTTATTAAAGTTAGCCCTTTTGAAATCGTAAACCTTAGTCTCCGATTTAATTTTGTTAATCCTTCCATTTAGTTTAAACCGAATTAGCTCATGATCACTCGAGCCAAGGTTGTCCCCTACAACCATTTCCTCAACGAGGTCCTCACTACTCACCAAAACCAAATCTAAAATGGCATCCCCCCTCGTCAGTTCAGCAACTACTTGATGAAGGAATCCATCAGCTATCACGTGTAGGAAAATCTGAGCCCTATTATTGTTACTAGCATTTGTTCCCCAATCTATAGCCGGGAAGTTAAAGTCTTCCATGATTACACAGTTCCTGTTAGTATTTACTTCCCTAAAAACATTAAAGAGTTCTCTGTCCATATCCAGGCTAGATCCCGGCGGTCTATAGCACACCCCAAGCACTATCCCAGGGGAGGCTCTAGTAGTTCTTTTACCCAATGTGAGTATTGCCCAGACAGACTCCGTCTTATCCATTCCATCACTTAATATTTCTTTACAGTTTATCTCATTGTTGACATACAATGCTACTCCCCCACCTTTACCTTTGTTCCGGTCTTTCCTAAACAGCACATACCCCTCCATACCTGTACTCCAGTCATGACTACCGTTCTCCAGGCACTGCGCCTTAGTCGGTGCCTCTAGATCTGATGCAGCAGTTGGCAGTGCAGTTCCTTTGTGCTGGACTCTATTCCAAAGCTTATTCCTCCTTATAGGGATTCTGCTCAGGAATTTCCCAAAGTGGAGCACCCATAGGGACACTACTCAAGAAAAAAGCGATTACTCACCCTGTTTGATAACTTTAGTTCTTTGAGATTTGTTGTCCTCTGTGTTCCACTACCCGCCCTCCTTCCCCTCTGCTTCAGTTTCTCCTGAGACTCAGTGGTGGAGAAGGAATTGAGGGTGTTTTGCCTGCTCAGATTGATGTAGCCTTGGTGCAGGGCATGTGGCTGTCAGCAGTGCATGTGTGGGTCGAATGGACACTGCTAATGAAAATCTATCAATGGCACGTGAGGTGCATGCACAGCTCAAGTGGAGTACCCGTAGGGACACGCACCTTGAACTAGTTGCTGTACAGTGTGAAGTAACCTCCTTCTTAGACAAACATCACAAGCTGATGTCATTGACATTGATGTCACAAGTACAGGACTACACTGTACCATGAGAGGTTAAAAAGAGAGAAATTGGAAGTGTTTTAGTTTGTGTGTCATCTCCAGTATTTTGTGAAACTAAATGTTTAAAATGTAGTGTTTTCAACATTAGTGTGGAAGGTGAACTTTAAGAAGAATTAGCTGGTTGTTCGGCATGTTATAGATTCTGCTTTTATTTAAGAAACCATTTTAGAGCAGCTATGTAAATTAGACTGCCAGATGGTAATATCGACAAGTGAATTCTGTTTTTCTTATTATTATTAATTGATGTAGTAATTAACATGCGTCCAGTGCTCAAGTGCTTGCGTCTGTTACTGTTGCAGATATTATAGAAGCATCCAAACACTGATTTTGTTGTTGTTTACTCTTTAATAGTTAATGTAAATGTAGATCTGCAACTGCAAATAAATGTTGAATGTGGTGTACTTACAAGAAGTTTGTTGTAGGATATCACCCTATATATTACGTGTTCTAGAATATTTTTTCTATTTACCCTAATCTTTAGCATAGCAAGCAAATGCTACCAAAATATTTACATTTTCGTGGTGTGTTTTGTATTACTGTGATTTTTGTCTAACTTTTTCTCCTGTAACAATATAACTAAGACACACTCAGTAAAAAATCATTGCATAGGAAGTGGATAGGTGACACAATCTTCAGCCTCCACAAAAAATACTTCTCCTTGTATAGGCTTCTGCAATGTAGAAGATTAATGGAGTTTATCAAATGTGGCTTTAAAAAAAAAATCTTGTAATATAAACATTTAACTGCCTATCTTCCTGATATAAAAATGCTGCTAACGTTATGTATGTATATTAAAATTGACACTGCTGTGAGGCTGCACTTAAAATTAATTTAGCTGAAAATTTTGCATGCCATGGATATTGCAGATACGGATAACAGAAGTATTATGTGACCAATATGCTTTAATATAATTGGTCATATGACCAAAGTGAATTTCAGAAAGCTAGCATATCCTACACCAAACTTGACTGGAGAGAGCATCATCTGCTTTATTGCATGTTTCATGGGAGTGCTCACAAATGCCTGTTTTAATTAGAGTGTTGCATAGTATGTCTCTTGAACATAGGTTTCCTTTCTCTGCTTCATATGAATCTGCTGGATTTTAGTATTATTCATGTAGTTTGCTTCAAGTAATCTTTAAACATTATTCCCCACCCTCTCCTTTTTCTGAAAGATTAATCTTCTGTGAGTTGAGTGAACACCAATAAAAGCATTCTTGTGTGATCACCTTACCTTTCAGTCTGCCCCTTACAGACAGTAAGCTATCTATTTAGTCAGATACACAAATGGAATAAACTTCTTTTTGTGCTAACAACTTTGTGCCAGAAGTCAGATTCTCCCAAGAGAAATTCTATTGCATTCAGTAGATGTGATTTAAAGTGCCTATTTCACTATGATAAATTCTATAGATATTAATGAGCTATTTACCTGCTGAGAGTTAATTTAGAAAAAAAAATGTTGATAAAAATCATGAAGAAATTATATATATGAAGTCTTTAGCAAGAAAAGTGCTTGTATATTAATATTTTAGTTGTAGATGAAAGAGCATATTCAAAGTAACCACATTCTCGGTTTAATTTTAACATTGTAATCTAATGCAAACTTTAATTTTGAAATTCAAATAGTGCGAGCATAAAACAGAGTAACTCTTAAATTACTTATAGTATATTCAGCTGATATTATAAATTGAAAATGCTTAGTGCCTTTGTATCAAGAACATTAGAAATAATACCTGTGAGTAGCTAGTTTACCACTGACTTCTAAATAACAAGATTGCAGAGCTAAATATGAAGAGGGCAAAGTCAATATCTCTGTTCAAATAGCCTTTGGAATTTAAATTGTGTTTTTGGTGTTCTCTCATTTACTTAATTCCTTTTTTTTTTTTTTTTTTAAATCCCCAAGAGTATACCATATATGTTGCTGCCCCTTATTTTAGGGGGTGGTAATAAACAGCACTAGTGAAATCTTATGTTTATTATCATACACAGATTCTGTTGGTTTCTGTTTCTGAGTTATTTGTTGTTTTTTCTTTATTTTTTCTCCTTCCCCCTCATTTGCTCATGTCTTGGTTGGCGTTTGGTGGTGTATAACCGTGATTGCGTTACCTTAGCAATAACAATTGGTCGTCTTGGTTACGTTTGTCCTCAAGAGGTGGCCCCCATGCTACAGCAGTTTATAAGACCCTGGTGTGTATTATTCAATCTTTTTTTTTAATTCATTTTTCTTCACTTTCTTTCTTTCTTCTCTCTATCTCACTTTTAGATATATTTTCAGTTGGTTACAAAATCACAATCCTTAATCATTGCCAACCATGTGACTAATCTTGTCCTATCAGGTTTGTGAGTTTTTAGTAGCACCGTCATGTACATTTTATGTTGTGGCTAACGACTAATTGATGCATGGGATAAGATTGTCACATGCTTGCTGTGTTAATAAGCTTGATTATGAAAGAGCATTTTAAAATCCATCAGAATGATAATATGATGCATGCAAGTACTGTAAAAGTTAAACTATGCATTACATTACTTTAAAAAAAATTCAGTCTGAGACTTGAATTGCTGTAACGAATACATGTTTATAGATTTGTTATGTATGAAATAGTTTGCTTGCTTCTGTAAAAGTTAAATAACTGTTCTGTAAGTGGTCTCTGATATACTTCATACTGTGGCAGTATAGTCTGTTTTTCTTATAATAGCTCTTATCAGTACTGTGGATAAACATTTTAGTGGTATTTAATGGAATACAGGTCACTTTTTAGAAATCATAATTGTACATGGTGCAGCATTTAAAATTCAGAATTCTACAAAATGTAGAAGTTTCATCATATCTAACTTCTGAAGCTAAATGCAAATAAATTGCACATGAAAAGACTCTGAAATCTTTATTTGAAGTGTTTTGAAAACTATTCTAGGAATATCTCCTCAGTGTGACTCTTACTCCATCAAATACTGTCAAAGTAGTTAATTTAATTAAATAAAAACTGATTCTGTTGCCTAATAGCCTGGTTCTCCAATTTACTAGGTGTACCTCTCTGCGGAACATAAGGGACAATGAGGAAAAGGATTCTGCTTTCCGTGGGATTTGTACCATGATCACAGTCAACCCTAGTGGAGTAGTCCAAGTAAGATATTTGCATAGGCATTTGATTTTTGTTCTGACAGGCTCATCCTAAAATTGAGTAGGAATAACAGTTAAAGCTTAATTTGAATGCTGTAAAAGAAGTTAAGCACATATTGGTGCAATTGGTATTAACTTTTAAAGAACAATAGCTGGTGTAAAGTGGTGTATCTCCATTGATTTCAAGAGGATTAAACCATTTACATCAGCTGAGGATCTGACTCAGTTTGTTTTTTTCCCTCCTGTGGTTACTCTAATTGAAATGGAAATATTGAAGACACACAGAGTTAATTTTAGATATTTTATTGCACTCCTTGCCAAAAAGTAATATGTTCACAAAGTGGTTGTATCATATCGCAGCTGTTCTCATGTCCAATTAAAAATATTATTTTCTTTCTAAATCTCAACATCACTTCAAAGTGTTCAAACCATAACTTAAAATTCAAAAGATGTAAACTTATTTCAAACTAACTTAACCAAAAATGTACTTTGTACAAATGGAAAAATAATGAATGGCTATGTAACTATTAAAAAATGTGTTATTGTTAGTCTGTACATCCTGAAACTGTACAGTCTTGACAAAAATTAGTCTTTCATTCAATCAATCATTCATTTCAGTCTATCATTAATTTCTTTTCAAAACAGCTTCAAAATCTGAAAAGATGACAGTTGACGAATGTAATTGTATAATAGTATATGTATGCAAAATATATTTGAAATATAACGTGTCTAATGTGAACTAGTGACTTCAGACACCAATTAAATGTTAACATAAATTGCATGGTGTCACATCTTTGCAAGGCTCGTTCCCTTTAAGAATGATTGTTTGGTATGCTTAATTTTATAATCGGGAGTCTACAGTATTCACTTCAGATCTCTATTTTGTTTCGGGCATAAAGACCATAGTAACATACATCTAATAAATGACTGCCACTACCCACCATATCTTAAAGGTATTCTACAATGATCAAAGTTGATTCTTTTAACATTTTTGTTTTTACTAAGTTTTGTCGTGGTTTCAGTATCTCAGCAACGACATTGCTGGTTATACTATAATTACTACTTCAGATTAAAAATCAATTTTGTTACTGGTTCATTTCTTTTAATTTGCAGTGTTAGAATAGCTTTTAATTACTCTGCAGTTTTTCTTTAATCACACTTCATCCTAGTGTTCCTTTTATTTAGAAGGTGCATAATATGTGGGTTAGAGTAAAAGACTGAGAGTCAGACCTGGAGTGTAGTCTGATTCTGACAGATCTCTTGTGGGCTGTTCAAGTAGCTTAATCTCTCAGTGCTTTAGATTCCTCCTTTGTCAAATGGGGGTAATATTTGCCATACCTGCCTCAGGGTATGTGCTGTGAGGTTTAATTTGTGTTAAGTGCTTCCAGATCTTCTGATAGAAAGCATTGCATTATGTTGTGTTGTTTTGTAACCTTCATAGTGCAGCATAAAGGTTTTACTGGCTTATGTTTGCTATGACTGTAACTTGCAAGTACTGAAGTCATGAATGAGTTCCACAGATCATAAATCAGTGCCAACAGAATCTATAATGCATTCAGTTAGCCTCACATTTTACAGAAAAACCTTCTAGAAAGGTCTGAATTGAAAAAATGTTATGGATGCATTTTAATCCCTCTCTCTGCTTCTAAAGCCAAGTTAGCTAAGTAGTAGATCAAAATATACAGATTTCATGTTGGGAGATATGTTATATTGCAGAAACCTTTAAAGTAGCACTTTAAAATACATATTGGCATGACTTTTAAATCTCAATTTGTCATCTTCCAGGGCTAGAAACAAAGGCTGTGATTCAAAAAAGTTGATATATAAGCACCTAAGGAACTGGCCAGATTTTCAAACATGCTGAGCACCCAGCATCTTCCTTTGATTTCAATGGAACCTGCTAGGTGCTCAGGTACCATAAGTGACTTTATGAAAATGTGCATAGAAGAACCTAAGTGCTGAGTCTTTCAGATGGGACTTAAGCACTTCTAAAAAAAATTTCTCTTATATTCTTGGTGAGGGACGACTTCTAGTTTACCAGCAGGGTGATATACCATTATTAGCCAATATGATTTGCAAGACTACTGCTCCTTAAAACTAACCTGTCAAGGGTCTAAGACTGTTTCCTTTGCTGTTCCTTACTCTATTGCAACCTTTTGCTGGGTGGATGAGGGATTACACCTTTCTCTTAAGGTAGCTGTTTGAAAGCTGCGCAGAGTTGAGTAGGTGTAGTGGACAGAGTACAGGTGAGGCAGCCAAAGATCCATGATAAACTTCATTTACTACATGAATATCATCACTTTTTTGGTAGAACAAATGGAAAAATTTTAGTCAAAACAGTTTTCTGTTGGAAAATGCAGTTTTGACTAAATTGAAATTTTTGGCTAACTTGTATCTATATAAAAAAAAAATTGGAAAAGCCTTGAAAGTAAAAACACCCTTTTTAACACTTTAGGAACAAAGATTTTAGGGGTATTTTGGTTTGGAAATTACTTTGTTTTACTTTCATATTAAAAAAAAAAACTTTCAAATGTATAGAAAGAAAATGTTTCTATTGACCTGAAACAGAAAAATTTCAGAATTTCATTTTGGAAAAAAAAAACCTCTGAAATTTTGGCTTTTTATCCCATTTGAGGCCTTTTTTCTCCAGAATCTTGAAAACTTTTGTGGGATAGAAAATCTGTTTTTTCCAATCACTCTGCTTTTTGGATGCACGTAACTATATCAAACACATATTTTTAAAGGAATTTATTTTAATCACAGCTAATCAGGGTCAGTAAAATCTTTGAAGGATAATGAAAATTCATTTAGTTAATCCCTTGTGATGATGCAGGACTGAGTCTTTAGTGAAGACTGGTACGTGATAAGTTAATGATACTCTGGAAAAAGTTTGTAGTCTTGTTTTTTACGTACATCATAAATAAGGCTAAGATTGTCATGGAGGTCGTGGAAGTCAGGGGGAGAGGGATAGCTTAGTGGTTTGAGCATTGGCCTGCTAACCCCAGGGTTGAGAATTCAATCCTTGAAGGGGCCATTTAGGGATCTGGGGCAAAAATCTATCTGGGGCTTGGTCCTGCTTCAAGCAGGGGGTTGGACTAGATGACCTCCTGAGGTCCCTTCCAACTCTGATATTCTATGAATCCACGACTTCCAGCGATCTCCGTGACATTGGGGGCCCTGCAGCGGCTCAGCCTCTGCTGGTGGCGGGGAACTCTCCCGCAGCTGCTGGGCCCCCTGCAACTGACCAGCCGCCGCTGGTGACCCCTGAGCTGCCCAGCCGCTGCTGCACGCTTCCTCCCCCCCCTTCCCCCAGCTCCCACTTACTGGCAGCAGAGGGACCCCAGAGCTGCTCAGCAGTCATGGGTGGGGGGGGGGTTCCTCCTACAGCTCCCCAGCCATCGCTGGCAGGGGACCCCAAAGCAGCCGCTCAGTCACCGCAAGCAATTCCTCACCCCACAGCTCCCAACCACCGGCAGCAGAGGGACTCCAGAGCTGCTCAGCCAGTGGGCAATGCAGCTCCCTGCAGCTCCCAGCCGCGGTGGGAGGTGGGGGGCAGGGTGCTGGACCCTCCTCCCTCCCCATTTTGTCATGGATGTTTTTAGTAACAGTCAGGGACAGGTTACGGGTTCCGTGATTTTTTTTTTCTTTATTGCCTGTGACCTGCCCCTGACAGTTACTAAAAATATCCATGACAAAATCGTAGCCTTAGTCATAAACCATTTCTGAAAGACAACCTACTTTTACATTTTTGCTGCAGAAGATTTATAGAGATCTGTTTTAGTCGTTATCTGATAGATGGTTGGGTATACAGTAAATTAAATATAAAAACTTGAAAACATTGGATGATGTAATTTTTGTAGTTGTAGCCTGTCAGTCATGTGAGCTGGATGGAATCTAAAGTCCACTGAAGCAAAATTTTGGGAATTGAAGGGGAAGGGCACTTAGAACATTGTTACAAGCAGCTGGAAGAAAAGGCTAAGAAAAGGAAAATTTATTGTTAAGCTTTTAAAATGCTAACTTTTCACTTTTAGTCTTCGATCTATACTGACATTGATTTACCCTATGGATTATAAATGGAGCCTGTAGTTATCTACCATATAACTGTAATAATTGATCTGGAATTTGAGGCCTGACATGAAAATTTACTAAGTTGCCTGGCTGTTCCATTTTGGCTCCTTCACTTCATTCCACTTTTGCCTTATTCTCTACATAATACTTCCATCTCTCCTGCCCCCATTGTGCTTCGTTAATTGTGATTTTTGAAGACTCATGTTAACACATAGTTTCAAAAGAGGTGAAAGGGGAAAAAAAAATTTTTTTTATTTAACATTTTTATATAGATATATATTTTTAACTTAACGTGAGAGGGAATACGGTTTAATGGCTGGGCAGAGGAATAACCTACCAGAGCAGATGAACCCAGGATGCAGGATTTTGGGGGTGGAGGGGGAGGTAGGTTGGATTATGACATTATGACACTTGGGGGTTAGAAAAACTTAATTTGGGCTGTATTGACTTTACCCTGGCTCTCCTGAGAGGAGTACTGCAGCCTTGGAGGGGGTGGAGGGTGTTTTGAGCAAGGGGAGATGTATTATAGCTGTAAGTTTGCAGTAGTCTCTTTTCTCTGAAAGATTTCCCTGCTCTTTGGTTCTTTCCAGTGCAGTGCATTTAGTTGGGCAAGTGTATCTGGGAAAAATTTACCCCGTTAGCTCTTTTAATAGAGGCATTCAATCTTAAGGGCTTTCATACTGCACCTTATACAAATACTAAATTCACTTGAAAGTAAATCTAAAATATAATAGAAGCATGTGTGGATTGAAGTTGAGGTTCCTGCAACATTTACAAATTAAGAAATCAGTGTCATTGATTTCCTTAATTTATGAATTGGAATGATGCAAATATGGAGTTTCTAACTTATGTAATGTTTAATTTATAGGACTTTATATTTTTTTGTGATGCTGTTGCATCGTGGATTAGCCCAAAAGATGATCTCCGAGACATGTTCTGTAAGGTAATGTTTCTAATTTAATAGAAAATGTAAAGCCTACCTTTTATGGCTCCTTCACTTCTCTTCTGACTCTCTCTCCACTCCTTTCCCTGTCCCGCATACCTTTTAACTTTGGTTTATTGTGTTTATGGAGAGAAAAAAGAAAATTACCGAGTTCCAATATGGGAGTCATAATGTATGAGTTTGGATTTTAGATAAAACCTCACCAAAGCAAAAACTTGTGAATAGATTTTTTTAAAAATATATGTACACTTGTAAATATTTCAAATTTGCAATTTTAGCAGTGTTGAAAGTTTGTTTACTGAGGGGGCAGAACAAACTTTAAAGATGCTTAAAGATCATGCCCAGTAGAATTTGGCTATGTATGGAAGAACCAATACTTGTATAATACAATAAACTATCAAACTTTTAAACTTCAATTAAAAACTATTTTTAATTACAGAAAATGATTCTTTTGCCTAAAAATATACAACTACTTTTTTTATTTTGTATGGTTAGAGGGAGGGGAAAAAAGGTTTCCAGTTTTTGTGTTAACTCTACTTAACCTGACTTAAAATCATCTTGTTTATACAAGATAATCTTTCGTACTGTTGAAAAGCCTTACAAGCTTTCTTTAACAATACTTTTGGGCCACTTTAAGAGTTTGTCAGCTGCCGTTTGTCCAGTGCAAAGTGGGCTTCAGGGATTAACAAATTTGTTTTTGTTTACATTTAATTTTTCAGCATCAAACAGTTAACTTCTGCATTTTCTGGTAATGCAATCTAAAATGCCTTGGGTTAGTTTCATGTCATGTTAGAGTTAGGTAGAAAAGCCTATCAAATTGTGCTTTTTGTTACGAGGTCTGCTTTTTTTTCTAAGAGACGTGAAAATCAAACTTTTGTAGTTTAGAGTGAATCACAAAAGCAGGTGCCTGTTTCTTTAAGTTTATAAAGGATAAAAGAAAAGAAAAAGGAGTAAGAAAACATTTTATCCTACTGTTTGTGGGTCTGTCGAGAAGGACTGTCTTAAATACTTGTCATTTCTTCAACCCTCAGCCTCCAATAGCTTTGAATAATATCTGTCAAGTAGATACCTATGAAACAAGTCTTTTGTTTTTGTTTTTTACTGATTTCCCAGATAGACATAATGCTACTCCCTCATCTCCTTTGCAGTGTTGTGCCCTCCCATTTGTTTTATAATAAGCTTCCTTTTCTTCTTCGAGTAATTGCTCATGTGTATTCCACAGTAGGTGTGCATGCTTGCCACGTGCACCGGTGCCGGAAGTTTTTCCCCTAGCAGTACCCGTAGGGGGAGAGCGCCCCCCACGACCCCTGGAGTGGCACCTGCCTGGTGTGGTATAAGGGGAGCTGCACGCTCCCCCCCCACTGTCAGTTCCTTCTTGTTGCCAGTGAAGGTGCGTCGGAACTGCTCAGCTCCAACCTTGCTGCAGCTTGTCCCCGGAACTGTTCATTCAGTAGTACCTGTAGTCAGTTAGTTTTCAGTGAAGTTTAGTTAGTGAGCCCGGGCCGGGGCATGCCCCATGCCCCGGGATTTAAGTCGTGCGGCTCCTGTAGGTGTTCTATGCCAAGGAGTGACCCGCACACAGACTGTCTGCGCTGCTTGGGAGAAACCCATATCAGCGAAAGATGTAAGATCTGCAAGTCGTTCAAGCCCCGGACTAAAAAGGAAAGGGACATTAGACTCCGGGCCATTCTGATAGAGTTGGCGCTGGCCCTGACCCCGGCACGCCGCTCTGATCCGGTACCCAGCACCGCAGTGTTGGTGTGCAGAGACCCTCCGGCACCCTCAACTAGTCGGCACTGCTCCCCTTCCACGGAGCATTCCAAGAGGACAGGAAAGACTCCCTCTTTGCAACGGCACTGAGGGAAGTCTGGGACAGAGACTAGACCCATGTCGGGTAGTCCTTGGTCCCCATCGGGCCCTAGGCCTCCGACTCATGCGGAGCGGAGTAGCCCGTCCCCTTTGGATCAGGCCTTTCCGGATGTCCAGGTGCCATCTATGCCCGAAGCCCTCCAGGTGGCTAAGGACGTCATGTCTGTGCCGGGAGCGCTGCTGATGCCGGCCCCACGCTCCAGAGGCAAGCCGCCGCTGGGATCACCGTAGTAACTGCCAGCCCGGTACCGGTCTCGGTCGCGGGAACATTCCTGACACTGCTCACCGCCCAGTGACCGTTCAGGGCTCAGTCCATGTGGATCGCCCTCGACACTAGCCAGACTGTCTGGGTGCCATCCGATCGGGACTCCCAGCACCGCTAGTCTTCACGGAGCGAGCCCAGATGGGACTGTGGCGGATGTCGCCAACGGTCCTCGCCTCGAAGGCGGTACCGCAGTCGGTCATGGCATGACCGTCGATGCCATTCCCGCTCCGAATCCTGCTCAAAGTCTCCGCCAAGGCACCGTAGCTCCAGGCATCCATCGTCAGCTCCTCGCCGTCGCGGGGCCGCTCGTCGAGATCGCTCAAGGAGCAGCCAGTTCTGTTGGTGCCATTCACTTGCCTCGAGGTCGCGGTCCCATGGTCGACGTAGATCCCGGCACTGCCGCCACTCCCAGTCCAGAGGCAGTAGTGTGTCATACGCCAGCCCGACCTCCGCTCACATTTGCCTGTCTAGAAGCCAGGCTAGCCAGCCTCATCGGCTGGCCCCGCCGGTGCCTCAGCAAGTCCAATGGCACCGTGTGTTGTGGCTGGCACAGTGGTACCAGTGGGCACCGTGGCCTCCGGCGCAGCCCCCGGTGGGGGTTCGCTCCGTGGCCGGGGCGTCAGAAGCACCCTAGACTGCCAAGAAAAGAGTCGACGGGCCCCGCTTCCTCGGTGCTGTGCCCGGAGTCTGAACAGGTGGTGGATCCTCCAATGCCAGCCGACACCCAAAGCACCACACCGGCCTCCTCGCCCTGTCCGGAAGAGCTGATTGCGGCCCCGCCCCCCTCCATCCCACAGGAGGACTACCGGGCCCATCAAGACTTACTAAAAAAGGTGGCAGCGAGCCTCCATCTCCAGGCTGAGGAAATGGAAGAGCCCTCAGACTCCCTGTTCAATGTGTTGTCCCCCTCGGCACTGGGCAGGGCGGCCTTGCTGCTCCATGAAGGGGTGGCGAAAATTTCAAATGCCCTGTGGCAAACACCAGCCTTGTTGGTTAAAAACCATCTCTAAGAAGGCAGAGCGCAAGTACTTCGTACCCACTAAGGGGCACGCGTATCTGTATACCCACACGGCGCCCAACTCCTTGGTGGTCGAGTTGGTCAACCACAGGGAGCGACATGGGCAGCCAGCCCTGACCCCAAAGAACAAAGACTCTCGGAGGCTGGATGCTTTCGGGAGAAAAATTTATTAGTCGTCAAGCTTCCAGCTGAGAGTAGCAAACCATCAGGCTCTCCTGGGTCGCTACAAATTTAATCTCTGGGGATCCCTCCCCAAGTTCGAGGACTTCCTCCGGGAGCACGATAGAAAGGAGTTTAAGGCGCTCGGGGAGGAAGGGGCAGCTGCCACAAGGGCGTCTCTGCAGGCCACTTTGGATGCAGCGGACACGGCCGCACGGTCCATGGCCTTGGCGGTGTCTATGAGACGGGTGTCCTGGCTTCTGCTCTCTGTTATCCCGCGAAGTGCAGTCGTCAATGCAGGATCTCCCTTTTGATGGGAAGGCGCTGTTTGCGGAGGAAACACACACATGGCTGCACGGCATGAAAGACTCCTGTACGACCCTCCAGACCCTGGGCCTCTATGTCCCTGCTCCGGCAAAACCCAAGTTCAAGCCACAGCAGGCTCCCGCCCAGGCCTCTCTCCCGAAATACAAGGTCTCCCATAAGAGGCAACGGGACTTCAAGAAATACCTGCAAAGACAATACCAGCCTGCCCCCAAGCCTGGGTCCTCTAAGGGCAAGCAGGTGGGTAAAAAGTGGTTTTGACAGGATGCTTGGGGTACCCTGCCAGTTTTCAGCAGGGATCCACCCCCAATAAAGCTCCCTTTTTCCAATTGATTGTGTGCATTCCTCCCGGAATGGTCGCTGCTCACCTCGGACCGTTGGGTCCTAAACACCATCTTCGAGGTTATACCCTCCAGTTTACCTCCTACCCGTCCAACCACCCCTCACCCCCATCCCTCTTGGGGGACCCATCGCATGAGGCTCTGCTCGAGCAGGAGGTCAGGAGGCTCCTGGAACTAGGAGCGATAGAAGCGGTGCCCAAGGAGTTCCTGGGCAAGGGATATTACTCACAGTATTTCCTTATCCCAAAGGCCAAAGGGGGGCTCAGACCCATACTGGACCTGCGAGGTCTGAACCAGTACTTGGTAAAACTCAAGTTTCACATGGTTTCCCTGGCCTCCATCATCCCCTCCCTGGATCCCGGGGATTGGTACACAGCCCTCGATCTACAGGACGCGTACTTCCATATCCACAAAATTCGAGGGGCACAGGTGCTTCCTCCGTTTTGTGGTGGAACAGAATCCCTACCAATTCACGGTCCTCCTGGTTGGTCTATCCACTGCCCCCATGGTCTTTACAAAGTGCATGTCAGTAGTAGCGTCCTACCTCAGGTGCCGGGGGGTCCAGATATTCCCCTATCAGGAAGACTGGCTGGTCAAGGGCACCTCCTGGTCGCAGGTGAGGGATCATGTGGCACTCCTGTCCACAGGCACCACCCTGGGCCTGTTGGTAAACAACACCAAGTCCACGTTAGTCCTGGTCCAACACATAGAGTTTATTGGGGCGCTCCTGGACGCAACGTCAGCCAGGGACCCTCTCCCCCCAGACAGGTTCGAGACCCTGAAAGGACTCATCGACTCGATTGTAAGGTTCCCGGTGACGACAGCCAGGTCCTGCCTACATCTGCTAGGTCACATGTCAGTGTGCACGTATGTGGTTCGCCACGCCAGGCTCAGGATGAGGCCCGTACAACTCTGGCTGGCCTCGCAATTCTCCCAAGCCACGGACAGGTTGGACAAGGTCCTCACTGTGCCGAACCCGGTGACCGCCTCCCTATGGTGGTGGTCCACACCGAGCAACATGCTCCGAGGGGTCTCTTTGAACCATGCCCTTGATAACAGGTGATCCAAGTTCCTTTTACATAAGATTGCCAGGGTTTTTAGAACTCTGCTGAGAGAGCATCTAATTCCTTCCAGGAGTAGGAAAGAAAAGATGTTTTCTCTGTATACAGAGCTGAAATAAATAACTAAGGCTTACCTTGAGCATACTAATCTTTCTCAAAGCTATTAATAGACTTTGTGTACCCTATAGAGTCCTGCATGTTAGGAGCTTCAGCTAAGGACTTGATTGAAGTTCTGTTGCATCCATTGTTGAGTAGAGAGGAAAGTACCTCCCACCAAAGAAGAAAAAATCCTGTGAAGTTGGAATCTCTTTAAGAGCAGATACACTTGATCACCAGCTCATATCTCAACCATTGTATCTATGGACCTGCTGCACCAAGACTTTAAGTTCCTGGGTGGCATATCTGGAAAAATGGATCCAGGGATGCCATGAGAGAGAGTTTGGGATTAATTGGATTTCCTGTACACTTCAGTTATTACTGTGTCTTCTGCTTACCTTAACAAAAAATGTAGTAGGACCACAGTTCATCTCACTTGAAGGCAAAAAAGGGTATTGTACCTATTCCCCCCACCAGGACACTGTCTTCAGAAAACCTAGACAAAGAAATCTGAAACATCCCTTCCAGAAAGCAGGATAGATAGAAGATACTTTTCAGACTGTACCACTTTTTTTCCCCTTTTTTTCTTTTTCCAAACTAGTTTCAAATCAGCCTCTTAAAGGTGGGATAAACCTCGGAGCCCTCATGGAAGACAGAGGGAAATCTTCTCATACCAGAAAAGCAGCCTGGGGAGAAGAATCTGTCACTTTTTTTTGGTTTGATTTTAAAATGATTGCAGATAACCAGTGGTGTCCATATGGTACCATCCAGAATTTGCTGATGCCTCCTGGAACATGTCAGAGTCAAATTGGCAGAGGATATGCTTTTAGCAGCACAATATCTGGAAAAATGCATGCCACCAAAAACTGTACCAAGAAGAGAAACTTGGAAGTGTGAACCTTTCTCTGCAGTACCCAAAGAGATTTGGGGTATTTTACTGGTTGTCTCTCAAGTGGGTATTTTTAAGATGTCAAGATAGAAGTCTGAACTACGAAAGCCATGGTGGAGTTAGTTAATTTGTGTCTAATGACTTGAACCTATACCTACAAGTACCTTCGGCTGAAATTCTTTTTCTGGCAAGCTGGGGTTAATTATGTTGCTCTAGGGATGTCTCAACTGGGAACTCTGGAGTCTTGTTGCTAATCTTTTAGTTGATTGATGAGTCACCTGTGTAGGAAGGAGGAATGTGGACTAGCTTGCAGAAATTCTATTTGAGAGAGAAGCAATGCCTTTTAGTTAAGTCTGGTTTCAGTTAAGGCCACGTGTCCCTTTGGTCTCTGCCTTTACCTAGTTTGTGGCACCCTCTGGTGCTTCTGAACTAGCTGCTGTTCCTGAGGAAGAATTTCCAAGCCAGGCTTCCTTTTATGTCCTCCAGTTTAGTGTCCCTGAGGGCTTGTCTACATGTTAGGCAGCGGAGCTACATCAGTAGCGCTTAGTGAAGACACTACCTATGATGGGAGAAACCCTTCTGTCGACATAGCACTGTCTACTCCAGGGGTTAGGTCGGTAAACCACGTTGCTCAGGTGGTTATACCGACATACGTTGGTATTGCAGACCAAGCCTGAGTTTTCTAAACCCTTTCCTTATTATAATTTCTGCAAGGAGGGTTCAGTGAGTCTGTGTTTCTGGTCTTTTGACACTTATGCGCTACTAAATCTTTCATGATAGGAAGAGAGTCCTTAAAATTATTTTCTTTCCAAAGCTTCCTTTTGAGTTCTCATTACTTAATACACCTCTACCTCGATATAACGCTGTCCTCGGGAGCCAAAAAATCTTACCGCGTTATAGGTGAAACTGTGTTATATCGAACTTGCTTTGATCCACCGGAGCGCGCAGCCCCGCCCCCCCGGAGCGCTGCTTTACCGCATTCTATCCGAATTCATGTTATATTGGGTCGCATTATATCGGGGGTAGAAGTGTAGATAACGACTCATTTTTTCTTCTCTCTTGCAATAGCTGAGTACCTCTGGAATGCTCTAGGCAATAAAGCTCTAAAATTTGACTTTGAAAGAACTAAATATTTTCTGTTTCCCATTTATTTATTATGTTAGAGGAATACAGGCAGAGGCATTTAAAAACCTAACCCTTTTGATTTAAAGCCTCTATTCAGTTGTTGTATTTGGATGAAGGGACTTGGTATCCTCTGAACGTTAGGGTCCATTCTGTTTAGATTGTAACCATCTCCTGGAGATACAAATGAGATGTCTCAATGAGATGCAAATCCCCAACTTGGGTCGTCCTTTGTTCTTACTCCAGGAATTGCCAGATAGACATTTAAACCTTGTCAAACACTAGCTTGGGTTGTAGTTCTAGTTTGCTTCCTTATCCGATTTTTAAAGGAAATGTAGGTACATTAATATCAAGTATATGAGTTGGCAAATTTTAAAATTTGTATTTTTAAAACACTGGTCTAGAATGACCCTCACTAATATAATATTTTTTAGATTAACCCCTTTTTTAGGTATAGCAAATGTTTGACTAATTACACTTCATAAAAAGTGCTTCTTAGTTCAGTTTTTCATTTAGAATTAAGAGTGATCACTAAAATTCCTTTATTTCTCAGTGCTATGGAAGTTTCATCAGGAGAATTTGAGTGAGACAGGCTGAGGCCAACACTTCCTGGCACACAACTCTTAGCAATGTTTGGTGCTGTTTTCTGCATGATATGTAGTTGATGAGCAACTGACTGCAAGTGTTCCAGACTGTTACACTGGAGATTCAGAATAATCAGAGGTAAAAATGTAATTTTTTTAACCTACCTGCAGATCCTTCATGGATTTAAAAATCAAGTTGGGGATGAAAATTGGAGGCGTTTCTCTGACCAGTTTCCTCTTCCCTTAAAAGAGCGCCTTGCAGCTTACTATGGAGTTTAACCTCATGCATTCAAGCTGCAGTCCCATAATTAGGGGTAAGTATAAAAATAAATTGAAGTTTTATGAAGTTAACTTGTAAAGCAAGCATTCTCCAAGTCCATTTTGCATTACAAGAAGAGTGTTTTTTAAACAGTCACTGTATAGGCTATATTTGTTCCTGTTCATTTGGCTCTTGCACCGTCTTTCTTTTAATGCATGCTATAATACTGTACATGAATGTTATGGATGGCACCTGTAGTAAAAGGTCACACTCAGTTGCTTTGAAATTTTTTAGTTTTACTTTTTGATGAAATGTATTATGCTTGCTTTCATTTGGGGCAAAATGTTCTTTTCCTTAAACCTTTATCAAAAAGCTGTTTTCGAGCATGGGATCAGTTGGGGGGGGGAGGGCGTAATGTTTTTTTCAACCATTTTTTTGATCAAGAGAAGCTGGTGGAAACTTAAATATGACAGTTATATTTATGACCTGGAGACAATGTGTTCTTAATTTTTTATGACAATTGGCTTGTATTTGGCAGGATTGAGTGTTTTAAAAGAATTTCACAATGTTCCAATGGGATGGCGCACAGAATTCATATGGTCTGCATATTTCTGTGTGCGCCTCGCTGCCCCTCCCCCCCCACCCCCCCCAAAAAATGCAAAATAATCTGCGGTGGGCAGGGCTGGTGCAAGGAAGTTTCGTGCCCTAGGCAAAACTTCCACCTTGCGCGCGGCCCCCCCCCCCCCCCGCGGCCCCCCCCCCCCCCCCTGGGGCCCCCCCCCCCCCCCCCCGTGGCAGCTACCCCTCTCTGCCCTGAGGTGCCCCCCCTCCCCCCGGGGAGCTGTGTGGCAGCTCCCCGCCTCTGCTCCGCCTCCTCCCCGAGCACGCCACCCCTGCTCTAATTCTCCTCCTAGGCTTGCAGTGCCAAACAGCTGATTGGCGCCACAAGCCTGGGAGGCGGGAGAAGTGGAGCAGCGATGGCGTGCTCGGGGAGGGGACCTAGCAGAGGTGAGCTGGGGTGGGGAGCCCTGCGGCGGCACCCCCGCGGCAGCTCCCCGGCCCGGGGAGCCGTGTGGCACCTCCCCACCCCAGCTCACCTCTGCTCTGCCTCCTCCTCGAGCACGCCGCCCCTGCTCTAATTCTCCTCCCAGGCTTTCGGCGCCACACAGCTGATTGGCGCTGCAAGCCTGGGAGGCGGGAGAAGTGGAGCGGCGACCGTGCGCTTGGGGAGGAACTCTGTTAAAAAATAAATAAATAAATAAAAAATTGGGGGCACCGCTTTTTGGCGCCCCCAAATCTTGGCACCCTAGGCAACCGCCTAGTTCGCTTTAATGGTAGCACTGGCCCTGGCGGCGGGACACATGCCTCTTCCCCAGCAGCCCAGGCAGTGCGTCTTTTTCAGTGTGCCTGGAGCAGCCTCAGAGAGGCAAATCACAAGGGGAGAGGGGCTGGGCATGCGTGCCTGCGGGGGAGATGTTGATCACTGTCAGGGGCGGGGCTGGCCAACAAGGGAGAGATACTGTCACTGTCGCTTGCTTCTGGGGCTCGCAGGGTGTGGAGGGGGTTAGGTCTTCTTATTATGCAAGAAGAAGGCGCTGTTCACGAGGCAGAAATGTAGCAGCCTGTCTGCCTAGTAATATGTCCGTAACTTCTTGAGAATTGAAAAAACACTTAATTAAATATTAGTTTCATGATACTGAAAATTGTTTTTAAATTAAAGAAAATAGCTTTTGAACCCCCCCCCCCCTCTTCCCCACATTTTGTTAATGTTGCTGTTAGTTAACTGTTCCTCATTCTCAGTTAATTTCCCCCAGGAACATAAAACTTGTAAATGTTTTAAGGCCCCTACATTGTCAGGGTGATGTAAAGCCTTATAAATGACGACAAGGGAATCAGCTAGGAAGATCTGTGTGCTTTTCTCACTGTGTGCCAAAGTGGCACCGTGGGGTTAGATTACAGCTCAAGATTTATTTTACTACTTTTTTTTTTTTTTTTTAAGAGAGAGAGACTTTGAGGGCAAATAAAACATTTACCAAGCAGTCAATAAAATGTTAGAACCAAGCATTTCCCAAAGTACCCAGCCAGGTCCAGGACAATGATTAGCAAAACTGTATGACTTTCATGTGTGAAAGTCTGAGCAATTTAAAATGACATTCTACTCCCCCCTCCCCCCCTTTTGGTGTTGTGTAGTATAATTTAAATGAAAATCCAGGATTTTAACTGGAATGCAGAGTATTAGTTACCAAGTGTTTGTAACTTATTTTTCATGTGTTTAGGAAATGCTGAATAGTTACTGTGACTTTTTTTATATTGTAGTTTAAATAACTTACCAAAACAATTGAAACTGGTGTGATTTATATTGCATTATTTTGACAAATAAAATTTGCATAATTTTTGCAGATTTTTAATTTTTTTGGCGCAGAATCCCCAAAGGGGTAGACTGCATGTGTCTGTGTATTAAACAAGTGGCAGTTTCTAATGAATAGATAATTTATCTGGATTGATCTGGAAGTGCATATGTGTGCATAATAAAGGCGAGTTTCAGATTTAATAGATGACTGTGGAACAAGCTAGAGGGCCATATTCTTGGAGTTTCATGTAGCCACCCTGCACACACCCACATCATAGAAAATTTGAAATATTATTTTATGTACATTTAGATAAGATATGATGTGGAACCATAAGCCTCTAGGCAAGGTGAAACAACAGTACCCTAAATGTAATTTTTTTGCACAGTTCCAGAGACACTGCAACTTGACTGATTACACTTTTTACTGTTTAAATTTCAGCATCTTAAAAGTGGTGTTCATTGATCAGAGCTTCCAAATGACAATGCATTAAAAGATTTGTATTGATTTTGCATGGGCAAGTATTTTTTTCAGAAATTAAGCTATTTAGCATGTGGCAAAAATGGCAACTATCATTTTTCCTAAATACTAACATGAAATATTTTCACATTGCCTATTCTTCATTATCAAAGTATCTCACAAGTGATTTGAAAATATAGAAAACTATTATTTAAATTTGCTGACCAAATCAGTCTCTCACTGAAGGTTGTACACTGGTAACAGTGGATTGAGTGCCAGCTGGGTCTTTACAACACGTCATTAAATAGTCTGACGATGCTGTAACTTAGTATATGTAGAGCCCTGTGTGGATACAAATTTATAGTCGTGGCTATAAATCGGTATCTAGGGAACTGCAGGGCTCTCCCGGGAACTGCAGTGGCAAAAGAAGCAGAATGTAGGGCCGCCGCTCCCAGCACCCTGTACCAGCAGATCCTCCAGCGCGGCTATACCATCCCCTGCCTGTCCCTTCTACACAGCTGTCTAGGGGCATGCACGCTGCTTTAAAACAAGCGCGCAACCAGGGACAGCTGCTGGTGAACCTGGTGCCCACCCCACTGGGCGGGGCTAGGTCGATGCTGCCAGTGCAGGACGCTAGCTCCTGGGGTGGCAGCCCCATGTTCTGCTCCTTTTGCCACTGTGGTTCCGCGGATATCCGCATCCGCGGGTATAAATTTGTATTCACACAGGGCTCTAAGTATATGCTCCACAACTGGAAGAATTTCAGAGATGGAGGTATGCTGAGTCTCCTACATTCAAGTTCTGTAATCAGTTTCTTCAGGTTATGCAGATACTACTACTGAATGCATAGCGAGGGGGTGATTGGAAGTTTCACCAACACAGTGTGCCAAGTTTCCATACTACTTTACTGCAAATAGGCTCAGCTACACCGGGTGGATACCAGTCAACATTCTTGACATGTTAAATCGCCCTGAAGAAGTACCCAGTGCCTTTGAATCTGGGGAATTTGCTGTTCATCAGACTCCGGGTTCTTTCAATGGAATTTGGAGTGACCTGGAAAGAGAATACCGTCATCAAAGACTCAAAGGGAAGCAGTGGGATCGTAGGACTGACAAGAAAAAAGCCAGCACTTGTCAGGTGGATCCTCACAAGACATGTCCTGAGTGAATATGTAAAAACTATGAAAGAAGTGGCCTAACAAGAAGTAGTGAAGATGAAGTCCACAAACAAGTCCTTTCTGCTGCACTGAAGGGGGATGAAAAGCATGCTACAGCTCTTTCCAACCATGTCGTCAACAACAAACAACCCATTGGACCCTGAATCACATCCAGATGTGCTTATTAATATATCTACTGAATTGCATGTTGCATCAGATGTACAAGAGTCTTTATTGAAAGTAGCACATGTTGGTGAAGAACAAATGGAGAGATTTGTAAGAGGTGCACTTGATTCTGATGGGACACACAGCTGCTTCAGTCTAGTCAAGAAGTCTGGCATTAAAACATTTGCTGATATGGCCAGGAAGACCAGATTTAAGTCTGGCCAGGGAAGGACAGTCACAGTAGCTATCAGTCCAGGAATTGTTTTCTGCAGAGCCCTGAACTTAGCATGATTCAGAGATGTTTCAGTGGCAATTGTTCTTAGACCTGTGCCTGAGTCCATCTTCTCTGTTAATGGAACAATGAGAAAAACAGACAAACCTGAGCTAAGAGCATGCAACAAAGAAACCACAGTGTACATCAGATGTCATGGCTGTCATACAAATGATGGCTGGAGACAAATTCCAAGCATTCGATGAATTGGCTGTTGAGTACTTGAAGCAGATCCTAAAAGGATTTGACAAAGCTAATTCTGTAATCGAAGTCTTTTGACATGTATGACATTAACTCTGTACAAACTGCAGAAAAACAGCGCCAGGCAGGATCTACGAGTGCCTCCATGAAAAGAGTTTCTAAATGTAGCATCCAACAAGCAGGCACTGGATAAATTTTTCTGTGAGTATATGGTTTAAAGTCCATGTAAGTGTGGGAGCACACCCAGCACAAAAGCTCCTTTTTGCTGGAGTCTTTTCCAGTGAAGTAGCAAAGTCCATCACCAACAGAGGTGTTGAAGTTCAAGACATGTACATCATTCAAGAGGAAGCAGACACAAGGATGCTTCTGCATGCTATATGTGCTAGTATGGCTTTTGTGTCAAAGGTAACATGGTGATTAGGTCACCTGATACAGATGTTTTGGCCCTTGCTGTTCACTACTTTCCAAAATTGGAACACACAGGTAACGTAGATTGAAACAGGCACCATTACCAGAACAACTGACAAGTACTTGTGTGTATTTGTGACACACTCATTTCTGACTTCTGTAACATAATTCTTGTACAGCCGGAAGTAAGAGGAGGTGACTCTGTCCCATCCCTATCTTGTATTGGGGCAGAAAAATCTGTTTAATATTGTCAAAACAAAGGGAGCTTCAGAGCTCTTGACACATTGGGGTAGTGTAATGCAATTTCTGCACCAAGGAAGTCGTCGTAGTGCTGGATGACCAGAGCGAAAGAGAGAAGGAAACGCTCAGAAACCTGAATTAGTTGTGCCTCAATCTAGCCATCAAAAAAGAAGTCCCTGGCCAACCTCCCACTATGTGAGGACAGTTTTGAAGAGCCTGTCAAAACAGCTTAGCAAATAGATTTGAAGGTCTTTGCACACAGATAAATCAGATGTTGGGCAATCATTATGGCATGCATGGAAAATATGAATGATAAACTGCTTCCTGTATTCTTCAAGGGCCCAATGGTATCTGAGCTTCTACGAGACCTTATTTGTGCCTGTACTAGTAGGGGTCACTGCAAAATCAAATATCTGTAGTCAGAACAAGCTTCCCTGAACAGAACTGTGTACATGCCAAAGGAATGAAGACTGTGGTAACCCACGTTCACGTGACAGGAATCATGATGAACAAGATCATGTTGACTAGAAATGGCACCAGTGCCATTACATTTCAATGATACCTGTACAAATTTATTATCAAATTTTGTTTTACCTTTTAGATTTTTGTGATGCTTTGGGATGAGAGAGAAATCCAATTTTATGTCTTGAAATAATGCATAGTCATTCCAGTAACAGAAACAAATGCAGATATTTCAAAGTGGTCATTTTAATGTGTTGGTGTCAGTTTCTATGGTAATGACGCCACTTGACAGCTCCACATCATCTCTCATCTTAAAGTAAACATAATAAGCTTTCAAGTGGTGTGTGTAGAGAGCATACATTGGGGTGGCGGGGAGGGGAGAATTGTAAAACATATATGATGGGGCAAAATTAAGGTTGCATAGTCAACCTTAACATTTCATGACAAAGTGATGAACTCAGTATTCTTTTAATGTGACTAATTTTTGTGGGGAATAAAAGTAGAAATCAGTTCCTCTATCAGCGCTGTTTAAATGGTCCTGCAAATTTTGGTCCTCCAACTTTAGAGTCTAAAGTGAGTGTGGAGGTACTATAGGGAATTTTTTTATTCGTGAACTCAAACCATCAGTATGTTCCTGGACAGTCAGAAGCAAATCTATTTCAGGCTGTTACAATTTGAAAAGTGATTTAAAAATATCATTAAGAGGTTCAGTATTTGTCATCTAAATGACTCCTTTGAAAATCTGATCAGTTTACAAGTGAAAATATTTTTTTTGGAACTACCAGATGTGATGCACTCCAAGAAGTAGTTTGAGAAATAGAATTGATTCCCAATTCCAATTGAGTGGACAGTATCAAAGTATATTCAATATAGTTTCATACTTGGTTGAATTTTGTTATGGAATATTTAAACCTCTGTAATAATGGATCTGTGTCTTGTGGGAAAACGATGTTGTAGTACAGGGGTAGGCAACCTATGGTACGCGTGCCAAAGGCGGCACGTGAGCTGATTTTCAGTGGCACTCGCACTGCCCGGGTCCTGGCCACTGGTCCGGGGGGCTCTGCATTTTAATTTAATTTTAAATGAAGCTTCTTAAACATTTTAAAAACCCTGTTTACTTTATATACAATAGTTTAGTTATATATTATAGGTTTATAGAACGAGACCTTCTAAAAACGTTAAAATGTATTACTGGCACGCAAAATCTTAAATTAGAGTGAATAAATGAAGACGCAGCACACCATTTCTGGAAGGTTGCCGACCCCTGTTGTAGTATTAATTCGTTATTTCTGCATTGTGATTTTGGAAAACTATTTCATAAATATTGTTTTATCCACATTACATGTGAAGTGAGTTCTATATTGACATAAGTTTAATGGGTTTGTCTAGTTAAAGTAGGATTTATTACATGATACGTTTTTAGTTTTTTATTCTGAAAATATCAGTGCTGGTGAAAATTGTTCAAAATTAAGCTTACCATATAAGAGTGGACAAGTTAGTGTATTTTTTTAAGGCAGGAAGATTTGTTGTTTTCCTGACTTAGAGCAAAAGGTGTATAAATGAGAAGAGATTGATACTGTTTTTTTAAAGGCTGTTAAAGAGAATCTGAATGGTGTATCTATTTTAAAAAAAATAGTGTAAGTTGTTTACCATAAAAATGTTTATTTTTGACCCTGCATAGCTTAGTAAATTTAAACCTGTTTCTAATTGTGCTAATTGTGCTATTTTTCTCTTTTTACAGGTCCTTCAGTCTAGGAGACTATGAGGGAGCCTCTGCACCCAGGGAAAATGTTACCCTTTACTGGGGGGAAGGGTAAACCAGTAGGGAATACAGTACAATCCCAAGCATACTGGGAGGGGCGGGAGGGAGGTGTTGCCGTCACTGTATTAAGTCGATGTTGGGAAACGTTTTAACATCTGGAGCCTTTGTGGGTGAAAATCTGTCTCCTCTTACAACTCAGCACTGGATGTGAAGAAGCAAAAAAGAGAATCTATTCACAAAACAGCACATTCTGCAATATTATGGGGAATTGTACCAAAACAAGAACCATATAATTGAACCATAGGGATACGTAAAAAGGAAAACTATTTTGCGCACAATAAAGGAAACCTAAGAATGGGGGTGGGGGTTTACAAAAATCCTTTGACTGTTTAAGTAAGGGTTTTCTCATTATTTCATCCTGCTTGATGGGATTCCTAGGTATTTGCATGTTAATGAAGAACTACACAAATGAAGTTAGTACAGTTAAAATGCAGCTTGCTACCTGTATTGGGAACTGGCACCTGCAGTGTACAATATAGAAACCCCATAATAAAGTAATAAAGGTTAACTTTAACAAAATGAAGCAACTTGCAAGATGCCAAATGAGTCACTCCTTTCATTTTTTTTGGGTGGGGGGAGGGGCATTTCAAAGGAAAGATTGACATCTTAATTTTATATTAAAAACTTTAGTGGATATGATTTGATGGTTGTACTTCATTAGATTTAATTTCTAGAGTAAGGCATTATTCTTAACATGCAGTTTAAGGTTCAGGCATGCATTCTGGCTCATAGTGATCAGAAGTAATTTAAATTAGTGGGAAAGTAGCATGCTTGCATCACATAGAGTGAGATTGGTATACTTTTACTTATGTTGCGCCAGTTTTGTGTTGCAGTTTACCAATTTAATATAGCCCTGCATTTAAAAATCCTTTTTTAAAGATTCTGTGGATTTTATTTTTATTAAGAATATAGATATAAAGTACTGTAGTTTACAATTAGGCCTTGAAATATCTTTTTAGGATCTGTTAAGAATAAGATTGATATTGTATTGTGTGTAACCGGCACAATGTGGAAAGCTGATATAGCTGTGCAAAATATTTGCCTCTGTGCTGTCAGTGTGATGTGCTTTCTGCATGGTTATATACTACTAGTGATTTTATCAGAACTTCTAAAAATGAGTTACATGGTAAGACCTGTTAAAGGCTGCATAAATGTTAGTTGGCACGTAAAGACAATTGTAGAAGTTGATGACATGATAGCTATATTTCATTGTTTATTCCCACTCAACATATTACCTTCTATGCTTTCTTTTTTGTTCAAGCATGATCTTTAAGAGATGTTTAAGTTAATGGATGTAATGCAGGGTATCTACACTGTATCGGCGCATGATGGTGGCCCTTTGTGTCGTAGTTAAGTGCACAAGGGTGCAAGTTTAAAAGCTACAGAGTGAAAGTTGGTTTGGATCCTCTTCATTTCATTTGTTTGGCTTTTCTGTTGTTTTTCTCTACTTACGTGTATTCCTGTGAATAAATCCTTGTTAAGTTAACCCTTTACTTTTCCTTCCATGTGTATTTTCTTATGTACTGTGAATGTGAAAACCTAACTGGTACACTTGATCTTGTGTCCATCTGAAAGTGCAAGTCTTTATTAATTTAGATTGCCTAAGGAGTATCCCATGATGATAAAGGAAAATGGAGAGATTTTAACTCTGCTGGTCAGAGGTGAAGCCACACCTTTCCATTTTTCAAGTGCTGCGTAATTAATCTAAAACAAAATTAAGCCATAACAGCCTTTTTATAGTTTTAGTTTCTTACCGTTGCATTGCAGAATGAATACTGGATAACAGTTTTTGTAAGAACTTAATCTTCTTTGCATGGTTCTATTCTTTAAGAATGTTTGAATAATTTAGCCATTGCACTGAAGTTTGAGATGTGTGATAAATGCTGTTTAAAGAGGTTTTTTTTAATGCATGGTAGCATGCACAAGTTTTACACATTCCTTTTTTTGGCTTTTCAAAATTATAGTAGATTATCTTGTTTGAAGATAGTTTTGACATATACTGACTAAATTCAGTAATGCTAGTACATGATACTTACTCATTTTGTTTAATCAGAACTGCATGTGATGATGTGCTTTCAAATTCAATTGCGTTGTTAGAAACTACAAATCTTCCTTCTTGGCTAATAATTCTAAAGTGAGTGGGTAATAGGTTTCTTTGACTAAAAATATGTCCGACATATTCCTATTAAAATGTAGTGAGGTAGGATTTTGTCTTACTCAAATATATTTTAATTTCTTGTATAGGGTAAACATTTGGCAACAGTTTCAGGAAAAAAACTATAGCTTTTCCAGATTAAAATTTTGTATACAATATGAAACGTACTTTATAGTGCAGTGTTGTTTGGACTTTATTTAAATTTAGTTCTAACAATTGCAGCAACCTCACTAACTGGAGGAAAAATCAGTCAGATGAGCCCATCATATCCACTTTTATGTGTGTATTTTAAATCTGTATCTATAAACGTGTGACTGTTTACAGATGTGAACTGATCTGGTATAGCAGTAAGGAATATAATCAAAACAATGCAAAATTAAACAATACTGCCATAATCATAGTATTTTAATAGGTCCACTGGTATATTTTAAAGCAAATTAAACCATATTCCTAATGCATAATAGTACAGGGATTTGCAGAAGACATTTAGGTTATAACTTGAGGTAAGAAAAGTTCTGATTCAGCATTAACCATTGTAATTCAAATTGTTGCATCATGGGATATATATAAAGCATCTTAATTCTTGTGGTGTAGTTTTGCCAGTTTTTGAATGTTGACTGAATGTTTATACCAGTAGAATTGTGTGTTTGTCTTTGTTACATTCCAGTGTTTCTGCCTCTTGGCATGCTAAAAGCACGGCTTACTTCATCTGCTCCTTACACACTGAATAAAGTGCTGTTAGTGTGCTAAACTACAGAAATAGCCGCTGCTAAGTGATAATGTAGATTTTCTACTTGAATATTTTGTTGTAGGAACCTCAGGAGGTCAGTGTTTACTGTTTTTATATGCCTTGTTTTTCCTGTTTGAGTTTCCCTTTTTGAAGGATTCTAACAGTGAACAAAAGCTGCTGATCAACCTAAGTTGGTAACAGAAAGTGTATTTAAATTTTTAAATGCACCTTTTTGGCAGTTCTAAATAGCAGTTAAATTAGTCTTAAAGTTCAGTACCACAGTTTTTCATTTATACATTCAGAAAACAAGTTGTCTTTTTTCGTTTAAAAAAAAAATTGTAGACTACTTCATGACTTCAGGCAATGTAAGCAAAATGATCAATTTTGTAAATTTTTTGAAGCTTGATTATTTTCTAAATCAGTTTGTACATAATTAAAATTGTAATAAGATAATTCTTATGTTTCAGTTTATTGCTACTTATTAGAGGTTGTACCCAAGAGATCACTTTTAAAAGAATGGGTTTAAAATTTATAGCCATTATGATTTTTAAAATTTAAGTAGCATAAATTTTGTACTAAACAATCTTGACATGCACTGTGATTTTTTTGTTAAGACTTCCTTTAGCATTGATCTGAATTACTTAAGCTGCATATATGTATAATATAATCAAATATATATTCTAAAATTTTAAGTGGCTTTCCTCAACTGAAACTCATTGCTACTCCGACATGAAATATTCAGATACTAGTTTTATCTCAGGTGAATACTCTTGTACCCTTTTGTTCACAACATATGTATAAAACAGTCTCAATTATACCAGTTTATGTATTTCATATATGTATTTTCATATATGTCTTAAACGCTTACAATCTAAATTAACCTGCTATGGGACAAAAATGATTTTTGCTTCACATCAGTCACCTATTTTATTCATATTGAATGTATTAACAGATAAAGGTGCAAAACAATCTTCCTTGGAGAAGACTGCATCCATGCATAACAGCAACTAAAATACTTCATAAATAGTGCTTTAAATAAAGCATTGCATAGGAAGTTTTTTTGTTTCAAATATTATTCAAGGTATAACTTGGCATTAACTGCTTCTCAATATTTTTTTTCACGTAAGGTGATGGACCTTTAAAATACTGTATAGGGTCTACAGACTATTTTACTTTTATTTACTGTAGCTTTAGGTAAAGATTCAGATCTATAATGAAACTGCTGCTGTAAACCACTTAACAACATGCAGTAATGTAAGTTAGACACTGATGTAGTTTGCATACAGCAGTTTGCTTACATATTCATTACATGTTATTGGCAATACCTAATCTTGGGTACAAGTTTGATACACTAGTTGTAGGTTTCATATGTATATTCTTTAATATGACTTACATGTGTCAGGTTACTAGACATCCTCCTCCAGTACAAAAACGCTGTCTATAGATGGTTCTTGCTTTTTGCACTTATTGTTGGAGCTAAATCAGTTTTAGGTTATTCTAAATGAAAACTGTAATAAGATAAGTACATTGTGACTTGCCTTTCCAATGTGTATTGTGCTAAAATAATAAAGATACTTATAAATCTGAATGTATTCATGCGAGGAGAAGTTAAAATGGATGTATAATAAGGTTAAGTCCCATGCTTTGTTGGACAGTGTACTTTTAAACAAATCTACTTTCCAAGCAAGTTCAAGGCTTACAGTGTAGTATCCCTTTTCTGTAAGTTGATACTGTTGAGGTACTTTATCCTTAAATATCTTTCTATGGGTGAGCAACAAAACTGAGAAAGCCTGGGTGACTTTCATGGGGGCAATGATTGGACAACACTGTGTAATCAGGTTTATTTGGTTGTAGAAATTTTCTGTTAATAGTACCTTATCTCACAAGGAAAAAGAGGTGGATATGTTGTAAATGACCTAACTTAATACCTAAACAGTTATAAAACTGTTAAGATTGGATGCAGTGAATAAAATAGTTTAGAATTAGCAAAATGATTGGATCTTTCTGCTGACAACTTAGGTTGTATGAGTTTTGCTTGAAAGCTTTAAATCTGATGTTTCCTGTACCTGCCATGTTAGAATGTTTCCTTCAAACATATCCTCCTGCAACTTCTCAAGCTGTACTAAATTGAGTGATATTTCTTGAAGTCTGCCTCTGTGCTAATAGAACTTCATTTTAAATAGAATATGGTTTTAATTTTTGATAAGCTGCTGAATTTTAAAGAGTTTTTGGGGCCACCAAATATTTTGGATCATGCAGAGAATATATATTGTACTGTAGTAATTTTGTATTTACATTTGTATGATGTGACATAATAGATGTGAATGTTAATCACTGCTTGACTATGTTAATAAAGTTGTTTAAATATAGATATTGCACTCTGATTTTTAATGGAAGATAATTTCATGTCCAGACATATTTTTTTGTACTTAGTAGTGCACTCTTGCGGTTCAGCTCTGTTCTGAAGGCTGTAAATCCTGTCAGTTTTGAAGTGAATAAGACTTTCTCTTTAGTTGAAAGAAAATGATCTCTGGCTCAACTAACACCTGTAATCCAATTAACTTTGTTCTAGATGCCTCACACTCTATTGATATTTTGTAAATATATTTGTAGAAGCAAAAGGTTGTACCTAAATTGAAATAAAACTGTATTTGGTGATACAGGTAACTTTTGCCACCTGGGAATGGGACATTGACTGCATTCAGTATCTGTTTTAAACAGCATAACTTAAAAACATTTAATGTGCCAAAATTAAGTTTCATTTACCACACAACACTGATAAATCTGAATAGAAATAATGCTATGAAAGGCACAAAACTTCTATTTTTTATCTGTTTTAATAAAAAGTAGAACTGCCATCTTCTCATGATTTAGGATCAGATCTTCAAGTGGTGTAAATGTGCGTAGCTTCACTGACTTTAGTGGAGCTATGCCAGTTTATGCCAGCTGAGGATCTGTTTCTTAGTTTTCTACACAACCTACTGCTGCAAAATCCGGTGATGTGAAAGTGTAAAACTGACACTGATAGAATTATGAACAAAATCCATGTACATTACTATTAATTTGACTATCCAGTATTCAAAATTGACCTGAATTGGTCAAAAGAAGTTAACATATTATGTATATAGTTACCCTCTACAGTTAGACTTTTGCTAAAACACTTCTCAGTATATTTTGCTGAATAGAAAATTACTTCCACAGGACTGTAATAATTTTATATACACCATTTATACTTTGGAATGGCAGTGTGTCCAGTCTATTTACCCACTTTCCATTTAAGATTGCAGAAGAATCCTATTAGATGGATGAGTCTGACTTGTTTCAAATTTAGAACAAATACAATGTACAAAATGTGAAAACAATATTTTTACTGGCAGCAATACTGAAAACCTGCATAAAAAATTAGTTACACCTTGCATCTTCACTCTACCCTACTTTAGTCCTGTTGGACAGGTGATGCCAATCAGAGTTGCAGAGTTAGAGGTTTAGGCTTTTATATAATCTGATGGATTTCCATTCTGTTTCTGTTCCTGCTCTATTGTACAGTTGTAACTTTAATATTAATTGATATGAGGCTTAATCACTTATCTATAGCACACTAGCACAGTTACTGACTTTTAAAATTAATGTGTTTTGGAGATAGCTATTTCGGAGGTGAGGTTTTCAGAACTGGTAGCATTTTCAGAAAATAGATGGGCTTTTTTTTGGGATACTTTCAGAGCAAACTGACAATACTTGGCTAATCAGTATATGAAGAGTTGTTATTCCCTTCAAATCAACCCTCTGTCTTTTAGTTGTAGAGAGAGACCCAACATAAGATGAATGACTTCAGATGTTTCATATAGTTCACTGAAAATATGCATAGATATCTAGTTCTAGGTTTTATCTCTCCATGAGCATTTATCAGACACCCATCACTTTGGTTTCTAGGTGCCAGCAGCCTTTTACCTGCCTTCCCTTGATGAATCAGTAGGAACCCAAACATTATTTTCAAGTTGGTCTGTTTCATCTCCTTGTGTCTAAAGGAGTCCTGTAATACAAGCTTTGTTCCCTAATCTGTTTTAAGATTTCCTCTTGTTAGAAGAACCTAAGATACTTTAGCCATTTCTCAGAGAAAATTGGGGGGAAAAACTCCAATACTGGTTTCCAGAGCTTACAGCTAAGAGAGTCCTTGTTCCTTTCTTCCCTCTCTTAACAGGCTGTATAGTGGCTTGTTCCTCAGTACTAAAAGGCAGGATGCCCGGGAGGTCATATAGGATCAGAAAAAAGCAAGAATTTTATCTGGGCAATAGACTTAATGATAGGAGAGATAGTCCAGTGGTTAGGACACTAGCTTAGGAATTGAGGGAGGAGACTTGGATTCAATTCCCTGCTCTACCATGTATTTGTGGGACCACCCATTTTAATTTCTCTGTGCTAGTTCCCCATCTGTAAACATGGGGTAATACTTCCCTCTCTCACAGGGTGTTGTGGGGATCAATACATTAGAGATTGTGGAGTGCTTTGAGAGCTGATGAAAATGCTACATAAGAGCTAGGTGTTATTTCTATTAATCTGAAATGCGGATATCTAAAATATCTCCATTTTCTCTCCTTGCCAATATTAGGAGAATGGCAAATAATGAAGAGGACATGTCAGTTGATACAGAATGATCTGGATTGCATGGTAAACTGGGCGTGAGCACAGAGTAGTATGTATTTTAATATGGCCAAATGTAATATGGCCTATACATCTAGGAACAAAGAATGTAGACCATACTTTCACAGTGTGAGAGACTATCCTGGGGAGCAGTGATTGTGAAAAAGATTTGGTGGTTGTTGGCTTTTCAGCTGAATGTGAGCTCCCAGTGTGGTGCTGGGGCCAAAACACCTAATGTGATCCATGCATGCATAAATAGTGGAATACCTAGTAGGAGTAAGGAGGTTATATTACCTCTTTTTGGCACTGGTGCAACTAGAGCTTTGACTCCTAGACTGAAGAGTAAATTGCCATTTTTTTTTGTTCCCCCACATAGGTACTTACTCCTGTGATTAAATTACCCCTTAACCTTTTAAGATTGAGCTTCTTGAGTATCTATTTATCATAAGGCATGGTCTGTAATCCTCTAACATTCTCATGAGTCTTCTCTGAAGCCCTACTTCTAATGTATCTGTCCTCCTTGAATTGTGGACACCAGAATTGGGCAGAGTACTCCAGGAATGATCTCACTAGTGAGTAATATCACCTCTCTACTGTTAGATAGCCCCCTCCTTATACAGACAAGGATTGTGTTAATCCTTTTAGCTACAGTGGTTTTCAATATTTTGTCATTTGCGGACCCCTAAAAGAATATCAAATGGAGGTGT